GTACCTTCATTCGAATTTGCAATTGCATGTCCTTATTGTAAATGAGTGCATATCATTCGGCAGTCAGATATTGTTTCCATAATAGAAAATTGCATAGAGTGTTCCTCTCTCAGAGTCTTTTAATTCATTTCATTAACATTCTTTAATACTACAGACATGATATGTTTAATAACCTTATCCACTTGGCACTTTGGACATTGCTGGCCCCGCCATTTTTCTGTCCCATGAGAGCAATGAAGAGAGTAATAAGTAATAATAAGAGTAGTAAGTAGATAGGTAAGAGGAGTAAGTAATAGTAAATGAGAAGTAAATAATAACAGGAGTATGAGATAATAGTAAGAGAGCAAGGAATAAAAGAGTAGTAAGTAATAGTGAGAGAAGTAAGTAATAACAAGAGTAGTAAGTAATAGTAAGAGACGTAAGTAATAATAAGAGTAGTAAGGTAATTTAGTAAGTAGTAGTAGAGAATAGTAAAAGTGTAGTAAAGTTAAGAGAAGATAATAGTAAAGAGTAAAGTAAGAGTAAGGCAGTAAGTACAGAGTAGTAATGGTAGATAGTAAAGTAGTAACGTACGTAAGTAGAGTAAGGTAAGTAAGAGAGTAAGTAATAGTAAGCAGTAAGTCAAGTAGTAAGGAGTAAGTAAGTAATAGTAAGAGTAAGTCAATAAGTAATAGTAAGAGTAAGAGTAAGTATAGTAAGAAGAAGTAAGGAGAGAGTAGTAAGTAATAGAGTAAGGTAGTAAGTAGTAAGTAATAGAAGGTAGTAGTAATAGTAAGAGAAGTAAGAAAGTAAGAGAGTAAGTAATAATGTAAAGAGTAGTAGTAAATAGTAAGAGAAGTAAGTAATAGTAAGAGAAGTAAGTAATAGTAAGAGTAGTAGATAAATTAAATAGTAAGAGTAGGTGAGGTATAGTCCACGAAGAGCTAGTAGATATAGATAGATAAGGACTGTTAAGTAATTCTGAGAGAAAGTAGATAGTATAATACGCTCACACGAGAGATAAGGGTATTTATTGAGTACGCAAGAAGCTAGTAGGGACGGAGCAAGATAAGATAGATTAACAGGTAAGTTAAGTAGCTAGTGAATGTATAGATAGTAAGGTCTATCTAAGGCACATATAAGATAGAATAAGAGAGAGATCAGTCAGAGAAGTGGAAGTAATACGATATGCAGCCAGTAGTGTAATGTGTCACGTATGGACGATATGATAGATAGATAAAGGAGAGAGAATGTGGCAGGGAGGAGAGGTCAGCGGACGTAGTCAAGACGCCAGAAGGAGTGATTGTTAGAGGGTAAGCTTAGAAGGATGAAGAGACAATGTATGTGATGTAAGTGAAGAGTTATGTAAGTGATAGGATAGAGTAGGTAAGCTAATGAGTCATAGGTAGGAAGTGAAGATTATAGCTAGAGACCACGCGCGAGAGAGGTACAGAGTGCGAGTGTCGATATAGCGTATGAGGGTGTAAGAGAAGATTGTAGCACAAAGGTAAGAGGTAATGTGTATCAAGAAGTAAGTAAATAGTAAGGAGTAGTAAGTTATGGTAAACGACGAAAGTAACACGCAGTCAGTGTGAAGGAGAAGGTAAGTCAATAGTAAGAAGTAGTGAGTATAGTTGTAGCGTAGGCACAGTAAAGATATATGGTAGGTGGCTGCATATAAGAATAAAGGCTGTATGTGTAAAACGATAGATGAGAGATAGTAAGATTTATGTAAGAGACGTAAGTAATATGTAAGCAGTCTCAGTAGATAAATAGATAATGTATGTGTAGGGTTATGTTTCGATGCCGAGATGACACGGGTAAGTGTATATGAGGTGGAGAGAGAAAGGAAGATAGTAGTTAACACTCGCTTAGTGTTGGGGACAGCGCTATTAGAGGGACGCACACGCTCAGTAGGCTCGCGAGAGATAGTTAAGAGTTCGAATTCTGTCTGAGAGATAGGAGTAATATGAGCACGCTCAGTGGTAATGTACGCTGGAAGTGAGGAAGAAGAAGGTGACTTGACAGAAGGAGGGTAACACTGTCGTCGGTTGAGAGGAGGTAGTAACGATACAAGATCACCACGCACGCACAAGATAAACGCTAATAGGTAAAATATCGTAACGGATGTAGATAATTAATTAGATAATAAGTTTAGTGGTACGATATCTGTAATGCGAAACGAGTATTAAGTAATAAAACCTTAGTAAGGAGTAGTAAGTAATATAAAGAGACGTAAGTAAAACAAGAGTAGTAAGTCAATAGAGAGTACGCTCACACTAAATTTAGATAGAGCAGGGAGGAAATATCGTAACTCTAAGACGCTCACACGAGATAGTGAGTATAAGTCTAGTAAGTGAGTAGTAAGTATGTAAGTAGTAAGTAATGAGTAAGAGTTAGTAAGCTCAATAGTAAGGAGTAGTAAAGTATAGGTCAAGAGACGTAAAGTAATAACAGAGGTAGTAAGTAATAGATAAAGTAGTACGTAATGAGTAAGAGAAGTAAGTTTAATAGTAAGAGAAAGTAAGTAATAGTAAGGAAGCGAGAAAAGTTAGGTAGTAAGAGTAGTAAGTAATAGTAAGAGACGTAAGTAATAACAGAGTAGTAAGTAATAGAAAGAGTAGTAAGTAATAGTAAGAGGTAAGTAAAGTAATAGTAAGAGAAGAAGATAGTAAGAGAAGTAAGTAGTAAGAGAAGTAAGTAATAAGTAATAGTAAGAGTAGAATAGTAAAATAGTAAAGAGAGTAGTAATAACAAGAAGTAGTAAGTAATAGTAAGAAGAAGTTAAAGTAATAATAAGAATATAGTAAGTAATAGTAAAGTAGAAGTAAGTAATAATAAGAGTAGTAAGTAATAGTAAGAGAAGTAAGTAATAGTAAGAGTAAGTAGTAGTAAGAGAAGATAATAGTAGAGAGTAAGTATAATAAGAGTAGTAAGTAATAACAAGAGAAGTAAGTAATAACAAGAATAGTAAGTAATAGCAAGAGTAGTAAGTAATAATAAGAGTAAGAAAGTAATAGAAGAGAAGTAATAGAAGAGAAGTAGTAGTAAGTAATAGTAAGAGAAGTAAGTAATAACAAGAGTAGTAATAGTAAGAGTAGTAAGTAATAACAAGAATAGTAAGTAATAACAAGAGTAGTAAGTGATAGTAAGAATAGTAAGTACTAAGAGTAACCAGTCCTCTCGTCGCCTATACTCACGAGATTCGAAGCCCAGCTATCGTACTTCTGTTGCCAGGTCTCCGCCGTCACCGCGACCACCAGACACGCCTGCAGAATGAGCATCAACCTGCGCAACAGAGATCGGTTAGTGGGCTTTGGCGCTTGTAAGTGGACGTCCTGCGAAACAGCGATATCTGATGGAAATTGTGGTTACTTCTATGGTGTTATGTGGAGTGTTGTGAGTTACGAAATATGATAATTCTAAAAACTGAAAACAAACGATTGGGAAAAAAAAAGTTTAACATCATTTCCCATGAAGTTGGACTGATCTGTTATTTATATTTTTATCTGAGCTCTAAGTTGGGGAGGGGATTGCATGTGTGTGTGCGTGTGTGTGTGTACCTAAATGTGTCTGATTGTGTGTCTGTATCCGTGTGTGCTTTGTGTGTGTTGAATTTAAACTAAAGGAATCTTAGAAGATATATATCAATAAGAAAATTAAAAATGCTGTTAACGTAGTATTGTGCAAGAATCCGTTTAGTTCCTGCAATGTCTGCATCTCTCATCTTTCTCTACGTCTCTCAGCACGCATTTCTCTTACAGAGTAGAACCTAATATAAATGTTTAACACGCATTTCCTTGTTCTGTCTCTGACAAAATACCATTTAGATATTTATCGAAGAGGGACATGCTGTCGGAAGCATATTTTCACTTTTCTCTGAACTGAATTCGGAAACAGACAGACAAACAGACAGAAAAGAGAGAGATGGCCAGCCGTTCCCCTCAAAAATAGCCGATGGTCCTGGAGGGTAGCGCCCTGGTGGGGAATATATGTACACACACACACACACACACACACACACACACACACACACACACACACACACACACACACACACACACATATATATATAATATATATATATATATATATATATATATATATATATATATATATACATATATATATATATATTGTGTGTGTGTGGGTGTGTGTATGTAAGCAGTATATATATGAATAAACATATATATGTGCATATATTTCCGTTAGAATTTTAAAAAAAAAATCAAACCTTACTCCAACCTCATCACTAAATGCCAGTAATTCGCCTGCAACAAATTAGTCCAAGTGGGCCGTTGACGGAGCCGGTCTATTGAGAGCGCGAGTTCTGCTTTTGGTAGTGTTTAACTCTCCATTTTCTATTTTCTGTGTAGCGCTTAATTGGACTTGTTTCAAATGACACATAAAGTCTTATTGAATATATGGTGGCCAGAAGATTGCAACAAGGAACTTACCAGTGATCATTGTTTTCTTTTTTTTCTTTCTTTTTCTTTTTCTTTTTTTTTAGTATTTGGGATCTCATTTAAAGTGATTTGTCGTGTGTAATGCAAAATTAAATCAGCAGTTATTTTAAATGTTACTCACTACAGCACTCAAAATCAAGTGCAAAGTTAATTGTATATAATAATAAAAACAAATTTAAATGGAATTGGTGTGTGTGTGTGTGTGTTGTGTTGTGTGTGGTGTGTGTGTGTGCGTGTGTGTGTGTGTGTGTGTGTGTGTGTGTGTTTGTGTGTGTTTGTGTGTGTGTGTGTTCCCGCCACCGAATGCAATAAAAGCATTTAATCTGAACTCCACGACTCAACAGCCAAAAAAAAAAAAACTGAAACAAACACACCCAAGCCACAAGCCAGTAAATTACTTCATCGTGTCCTCCGCAGCGTCCGAATCCGATCGACGACGAAAGTTTTCAGAGGATATAAGAAGGGATCCGAACGCGGCACTTTCCTCCCGCAGTCTGGGTCGTTGCCGTTGCCCAACTAACCCTCCTCGACGTCGAATTGGCCAAGAAGAAATATGAGCCAGGAACGTATGTCACCGTCGGTCAGTGTGAATAAATGACGGGTTCTTTATGATCAAATATCAGCGTGAATTGAATGACTGATGACAGGTGTGACGGCTATTTCGATTTTTTTTCCCCCCCAAAGAACGTGCTGGGTTGGCTCCCTGCCAGTGCCTACGATTTATTTAAGAGTTAGGTCAATGGCCAAGGTTGCATCTTTATGTTGTTGTTTTTTTCTTCTTGAGCTCTGTCTTTTGGGAGAGCTATGAGAACTGGCAGATAGATGAAGAGACAGAGATCGAGAGAGACGAAAAATTACACTGGGCTTCGATGATAGTGAAATTATACTGCGAACATCACCCACGAACAGACACACACACACACACACACACACACACACACACACACACACACACACAAGACCTGGGATACAAAGGATCCAAATTTACAGAACCTGGCTGTTTAGAGTTGATGTTGCATTGCAGTTTTTTATTCTTTTATTTTCTCCTCTATATATAGGATTCATACTTCCACTCTTCAGCATGCTGGGAGTCTTCACTTTGTGTCAATCATCTCTTTTGGTGATTTACTCATCATATCCGATATGACTTGAGGTTGGTTGATACTGACATTGAAACTGAAACATGTAATTCGCTAACATTTATACAATTTGTTGAGTTTTTGTCATATGATCTTTGGTTGAAAATCGTCTTCCAAAACCCTAAGTATTTTCGTTCGATTCTCATCTCTGGCAGAACCTAATCTTTTTGATAGTTCAATTACTGAATCGGACATCAAGGTCTCCTAGTATCATATTGATTCGGATTCCCTTTCTAGTTGTTATTTTCAATTAGTAAAACACTTACAACGCCACTGAAAAGAATATCTACTACCTTTACTGCTGTCACCATGTGTTTGTCTTCTATTACACTATACATGTTTTGCAGATTTGCAAACATGAATACCCACTCTTCTGCTTACTACATATTTCTAGCTTTTCTTACTTAAAGTCATTTTTTTTTTCTCATATTCATTGTCTTCATCTCAGATGTTTCCATAAAAGTCGTTATTGAATGATACTTGATATCATGAGACCAGGAGTGTCACATCATTTAAGTCTAATAATAACATTCACGCTCTTAAAATCACATCAAATCTTCTAGTGGTTGTATTTCATTTTCCATTCCGTTTCCCTATTCATCAATCTCCCATTTACGTTTATATTTTCCATTCCCTTTTACCACTTCCTTTCTTTCTCTTTCTTTTTCTTACTGGTCCTTTTGGTACAGCAAATTTGGTTTGGCTTTGGACTTAAACCCGGGGTATTCAGTCAGATGTGGACACAAACACAGTAACGTGTACTCAGAGATGAAAATTGAAATAGCCACAGTAAGAAATTAAACTGAATCGTGTTCGTCATCGGATTAATAACTATCAAAGTGGTTATTTCTTCGTCAAATGAGGAACCCTTGACGTTTTAGAAACGTTATGATTCAGTTTCTCATTGTTGTTATTTTTCTTCTTATCTTATTTCTCTGTCTAGCCGATATCTTTTATTGGTAAAATATTGTCTTTCGTAACAGAATGAGAGTCTAAAATCTTATTTCTTTGTGTAATTGAGTTATTGTTCCTTATTCCTTATGGTTCCTTCCATAATGGGTGGAGCTGACCCTTACCCCAGTGATGCATCGATGGTTCCACGCATTTTGGGAAAACCATTATGCTGATAAGGAATGTATGTGCTTGTTTGTTCCAACCCATCTTTTTCGTTTGCTTCTTGTTATTTAGATTCCTTTTATTTTAGCCACTGTCCATGGCTCTGATTTGGAGCTATCCACGTTCCCTTTGACTTGTCTGTTTCTTTACATTACACATCCTTTTAACTTGTCTGTTTCTTTACATTACACATCCCTTTAACTTGTCTGTTTCTTTACATCACACATCCCTTTGACTTTTTAGTTTCTTTACGCTACACATTTTCGTTTATCAGTTCGCATTGTTTGTGAGGGGGTTGCTTTGCCATTTCGCCAATATTGAGTTTCTTTCGTCTGAGGCTTCCTTTCAGAACTTGCCTTTTCTTACTGAATTCGTCAAGGGGGAAACTAAATATGATATTTCTTTTCTTAGAACATTCTATACTTGTCCATTTTCAAAATCACTTTCATATTTATTCTTTATTAGTTCTAAATACCTAATTCATTAACTTTTTTCGTTCTTTCGGTTGCTTTAGTACCAGTACCAATAGATTACAGTGGAAGGTTGATGCAAGCGCGGTCTCAAATTCGTCTCGGTTCGTACAGTGGCGAACAAAGTCCTTTAATGAAGTGAAGCTTCGAATCTGTCGTACCCTATATAAATAGTGTGGTATTAAGCGGCTGTTCGAAACGGAATTCGAAATTTTCGTCTGCTAAGTGGAAGCAAAAGACGACCGATGGATGGTGACGTCATTACGGATTTTTTTCCGTAGGCTATATTTTTGTCATTTTGTATGGCTACAGATCGTTTGATGCAAATGA